ACGCTACTGGCAGGAAATTTCAAGTCATTGATTTCTTTGTAATCTAATTCTTAGGTGACCAAATTTCTGTGTGTGTGTGTGTGTGTGTGTGTGTGCACGCGCACGTGCACACGCATGTGTGTAGAAGGAAGGGAACAACAGGAATGTAGCAAAGATTGTCTGCAAAGTGTAGAATCACTCAGTCATCCATTATTCTCCCCACTTTCCTCAGAATTCAAAGCTTCCTTCCTTTATCTCCCCAGCTGGGAAAAAGAGAGAAGGTTAAGAGAAGCAAAAATGACCCAGGAAGGAGCCAGGGTCATATGGGACACTGTTTTCTGGTCAGAAGAACTTCCACATTGGCCACCCTGAAGAATAGAAGGATTGGGGCATTAGCCTTGCTCAGAGGTGAGACAGTAAAATGAGACACACAGTGTCTGATGCATCATACCCCTGCCTCCAACTGTCTCTGTGGGGTTTGTCTTCTACAGTGGAAAGCCAAAGAAAGGGGTAATTCTTCTTAAGGAGGGTGTGTGTATACTTATGCAGACATAGCAATATAAATGGTTATCAAATTATGTGGTACATTGTTATGCACTCATCTTGGTTAGTACCTACATCCGTTTTCAGCTGGTTCCTCCCTACAGTGACCCTTTTCTTCCCACCCTGTGCTCCTGATCTGATGTAGATACTATGTTCATTGGGAAGTCAGCATGGCCCTGTGAAGATTCGAGTTCTGAGGTCCAGTCACAGTTGTTGGTTTCCAGGACAACTCCTTCTCCGGGTTTTCCCTTGACCCCACTGATCATCCCTTGGTTTCCTTTGCTGGCTCCTCTTCCTCCTGAACTTGAACTGTGAATTGTAAAGTACTGTGCAGAACTTGGTGTTGGTTATATTTGTCTTCATTGTCCATTTCCTGTCTCTCTAGAAGATGTTAGTGCCATACCCTCAACTATTTCTAAATATTTTACATTCACAGATCACTCATTTCTCTTCCATATTCCAGACCTGAATAATCAATTCCCAATGTCTTTATTAGCCTAATTTGTCTCTCCAAGTTAACATTTCTAAACATGAGGTCTTGATTGATCCTTATTTAATCCCTCATATTCCCTTTCTTTTTTTTTTATTGGAGTTCAATTTGCCAACATATAGCATAACACCCAGTGCTCGTCCCGTCAAATGCCCCCCTCAGTGCCCGTCACCGAGTCACCCCAACTCATATTTCCTTTCTTAATATATGACACCTCCATCCCTTTTTGTGCAAATCCAAAACCTGGCATTCCCTGATTGTTTCTCATGACCTATCCATCACCAATTCCTGTTGATTCTATCTTCTAAATATTCCCCCAGCCCCTGCCTCATCCCCATTCTATCCCTAGTCACTTCATCTTTAGTCCAGTCCAAGTCTCTATCAATCTTTTCCCAGACTACTGCAATTTCCTGGCCCATTTTCCTTTTGCCCCCCCCCCCTTTTAATGCATTCTACTCACAACCTCTATGCAAATCATGTCTCCTCTCTGCTTGAGAACCATCCCTGGCTTCACATCCAACACCCTTAAGATAAAGCTTAAATACCTCACCCTGCAAGAGCTTACCCCTTGCTTCTTCTTCAGCCTTGTCTTTATGTCTCTCCCTGTGGCCCATTCTACTCCCAGCACGTGGACTTCTCCAATATTCTTGAACACCCATGACCTTTCTACCTCAGGACTTTTGCACTCATCTGCCCAGAATGCTCTTCCCCCCTTATAGCATGGCAGGCCCATTCTTGATCTTTGAATCTCAGTTGAAATATTATCTCTTTGGGGGAATCTTTCCCAACCACCTTGTTCAAAGTTGAATCCCCAGGTTGATTTCTGACATAACATCCCATTTATTTTCCTCAAAGCATTTACTACAATATGTAAATATCTTCTTCATTGTTTACTGTTTAAAATTTTCTGTCTAGAATGTAATGTATTTATTTCACTGACATGCAAGCTCACAAGAACAGGTATTTTGTCTAGATCAGCCTTCTGAACTTCTAAAACCCTAGTACCTGCGGCTATGATGGGCAGGCACCCAGCTGCTTCTCAATAAATGTTAATTACATGAATGACCACTACCATCATTGCAAATATCTGACTTTAGACACAACCAAAGAAATCTGTGCTGTCATGAAATGGGTGCTCAGTGAATGTTAGGGAAATACTCATCTGCCATTGGAAATGGTGCTGCAGCATACTGATGGGGTTGTGCCTTTCTTCACCTGGAAATCAGCACTTCCGAAGGCGTGATTTTACTTACTCTTCATATATGTTAGATAGGAATGATCTAGGCATAGGGCTTTTCTAAACCTAAGAGATGAGGCTCTTTCACAAAAGAACTAAAAACAGAACTCTGATTCATGAATTTGCTAATGACTTTTCTCTCCAGGGGAACCTCCTCCTGCATAGTGAGACATCTCCTGGGGCACAGCCTTATGCCTGATGAGAAGGTAACCATGGAACATCAGCTCTGATGTAGGCTGGCAGGCAGCACCAGCTAGGCTGAACCCAGGGGTACTCAAGTGGTGGTTCCTTTCACCATATTAGACTGTGCACCCTTCAAGCAGAATGCAGGTTCTTTTCCATGCTTCCCCAACATTTATTTTGAAGAGTTGCTGACCTAGTTGACAGCCTCATGAATAAAAACAGCAATGACGAAAACAAACAGGCAAATGAATAATTCATAATAAATGTTGAAAACAAAGACAAAAGGAATCACAAGTAAATCAATTTATAATCTAGAAAATACTTGCTGATAATTGTCAAGGGTGAGAGTATCTTCTTTATTGTATCTATTGTTTCCTTTTCTTCCCGTTTACTTTTTTTTTTTTCAATGGAGCAACTTGTGTGAAGTCTAAATTGCTTAATTACATAGCCTGTAAATAGGGAAACTAGGGACTGTGTGTGTACCCTTGCTTTCTTTCTTTCATTGAAACACGCAAAGTGAGGGGAGGGAGTGGAAACCAACAGCACAAACGGAGAAAGGAAGCAGAAGTTGTCTGGTAGACCTCGTGAGGAAACAGCCCAGAGAATGCAGATGCAGTGGGACACTAGCCTACCTCCCGTGCATCCACTACCTGATCTCTGTCCTACACATCCAGAAGACTTCTTTCTCTACTCCCCTAAACCCTCTGGAGATGAATGCTGCTGAGAGCCACTGTGGTTTTAAAACACTCTGTGCAATACCAAGAATTCTTGCATGTTATCTTGTGGTTTGAGATTACCTTTATGTATCATTCTTATCATTATTGGCAATGAACCCCTACTAATGATATAAAATGCGTAAGAAGCTACACAAAACAACTTGTAGTTGTCAACCAATTATTTTTGGCCATAGACAACCAAAAAAGGGAGAAATTGGGGTAGAGAGAAGCAAATGTCAACCCTACCTGGAAGTGGCAATCTGAAAAGATCAGAGCAATCCCCTTCCACCAAACTCTGACCTATCCAGTCTAGTAAAGTAGGATTATATGGTTTCCAGTGGAAATGGATAGAAAGCCAATTTTACTGCCTCCCTCCTGGAGAGTTAGGGAAAGAGCCCTAACAACAAACTTTGGTCCCTATCCAAATACTGCCAGGTGAATCTTCATGGTAAGGTCACCTAGGAACAGAGACCATCTTTCTCATAGGGTTGTGAGATAGATAGGATTGCGACTGAGATAACACCGGAAGAGCACCTGGAATGTGGCCAGTACATATTAGATGCTCAGCGAATATAGCTATTATTTTTTATCAACCTTCTTCCATACCACTTTCCACTCACCCCCCTCCTCTCTTTCCTTGTCTGTGCAGTAAGAAGGCGTTCCTGATGAGTTCCCAGGGAGGCTGAGAGCAAATGAATTCCAGGGTGCACTTCCCTGCACTTTGATACCTCTGAGACACCACCATCTTCTGGTTCTTCCTTCACTGGGCCGCTGCCTATGTTCCCAGAACTCCCCTAGAAAACTTCTGATGGGAAAGGCAATGGGAGCCTTCCCACCCCCTTCTGTGCTATCACTTTGCTGCTCTGGGACGGTTGGTTGGGGAGTTTGTCCTCCCAGGTTCGCAAAGGGAGGTATGGGTTTGCTGGGGACTTCTATTGGGATAGTAACTGGAAGCTCGGAAGACTTCTACAAATGCTTTCTCTCTATTTTTTTTTTTTTTTTAAGTGGATGAGAGAAGCTGGCAAATGAGTCTTCGTAAATACAGAGGGACGAAATATGATTCGGTTTGTTCTTTAGATTTCTGGATGCGCGGAGGGAGGTACGCTGCTCCGAGTTAACGTGCTGCCTGGTGGGGAGGGATGTGTTTTCTCCTCGATGAGACGCACTGCGTAGAGCAACCACCTTAAACTGAAATAGGGAAAGCCGATGGCAGGGCTGGAGGGGGTGTGGTGTTAGGGCGCTGGCGCTAGTTGGGGGGCCGCGAGGGTGAGCGCGAGCTGGGGCGGGGCGTGCGGGGCGAGCGCGGGAAAGGCTGGCGGCGGGGCGGGGCGGGGCGGGGCGGGCGGGCGGGCGTGTGTCTCTCCCCGCGGCCCCCGGCTCCCGCGCCCCTGGCCGGGCGAGGGGTGTGATGCGAGAGTGGGGTGGGAGGGGGCAGCGGGCGGGGCCTGCCACGTCACTCGGAGAGTGAGTGTTGGGAAGGGCAGAGCCGAGGGCCGGGCCGCGGCGGCTGCGGCGGCTGCAGCGGAGGCTTGAGCCGCGGGGAGGCGGGTGCCCGCGCCCTGGGCCGGGGCAGCCTTCGGGCGCTCTCCGAGGCCTGCGGCGGCGGCGGGAGCGGCGGGAGCGGCGGGAGCGGCCAGGCGGAGCCCGCGGGGCGCGGAGGGCGGAGGCCGAGCCCCGCCAGGAGAGTCCGCCGCGCCGGAGGGAGGCGCATCTGGCGCGCGGCTCGCGCCTGCGGCCGGGGGCTGGGGGGGGGGGGGGCCGGGGGGGCTTGAGCGGCTGGAGAAGCGCCGCCCGGTCCGGAGGGCGGACCCCCGCGTCCGCGAGCCCGGCTCAGGCGCCCCGGGGGGCGAAGCCACGCGTCTCCTCGGGCAGCCCGGTCCTCGCGCGCCAGGGTGCCGTGCCCGGTGCCCCGGGAAGCGGCGGCGCCCAGGCACGGACTCGGGGGTGCCCCCGTCGCCCCGCGGCTCCCGGACGGCCGCTCGGGGGGGCGCGAGCCCCGCCCTGCACGGACGGCGCGGCGGAGAGCCGGGACGGCCGCCGCGCTCCCGAGCCCCGAGGCTGCGGCGTGGGCGCCGTCCCGGTGGCGGGGAGCGCGCGGCGGCGGGGACATGAGGTCGGAGAGATCCCTGACGCTGGCGGCGCCGGGCGAGGTCCGGGGGCCGGAGGGCGAGCAGCAGGACGCGGGGGCCTTCCCGGAGGCCGCGGCGGGCGGGGGCTGCTGCAGCAGCGAGCGCCTGGTGATCAACATCTCCGGGCTGCGCTTCGAGACCCAACTGCGCACCCTGTCGCTGTTCCCCGACACGCTGCTGGGGGACCCGGGCCGCAGAGTCCGCTTCTTCGACCCCCTGAGGAACGAGTACTTCTTCGACCGCAACCGGCCCAGCTTCGACGCCATCCTCTACTACTACCAGTCCGGGGGCCGCCTGCGCAGGCCGGTCAACGTGCCCCTGGACATCTTCCTGGAGGAGATCCGCTTCTACCAGCTGGGGGACGAGGCCCTGGCGGCCTTCCGGGAGGACGAGGGCTGCCTGCCTGAAGGGGGCGAGGACGAGAAGCCGCTGCCCTCCCAGCCCTTCCAGCGCCAGGTCTGGCTTCTCTTCGAGTACCCTGAGAGCTCAGGCCCCGCCAGGGGCATCGCCATCGTCTCCGTGTTGGTCATTCTCATCTCCATCGTCATCTTTTGCCTGGAGACCTTGCCCCAGTTCCGTGCAGATGGTCGAGGGGGGAGCAATGGTGTGAGCAGGGACTCCCCAATTTCTAGGGGTAGTCAGGAGGAAGACGAGGATGAAGAGGATTCCTATACCTTTCATCCTGGCATCCCCCCGGGGGGCATGGTGGCAGGGAGCTCATCCTCACTAAGTACTCTTGGGGGCTCTTTCTTTACTGACCCCTTCTTTCTGGTGGAGACCCTGTGCATAGTTTGGTTCACCTTCGAGCTCCTGGTTCGCTTCTCTGCCTGCCCCAGCAAGCCAGCCTTCTTCCGCAACATCATGAACATCATTGACTTGGTGGCCATCTTCCCCTACTTCATCACCCTGGGCACCGAGCTGGTGCAGCAGCAGGAGCAGCAGCAGTCAGCCAGTGGAGGGGGTGGCCAGAACGGGCAGCAGGCCATGTCCCTGGCCATCCTCAGAGTGATCCGCCTGGTCCGGGTGTTCCGCATCTTCAAGCTCTCCCGCCACTCCAAGGGGCTGCAGATCCTGGGCAAGACCTTGCAGGCCTCCATGAGGGAGCTGGGCCTGCTCATCTTCTTCCTCTTCATCGGAGTCATCCTCTTCTCCAGTGCCGTCTACTTCGCAGAGGCTGATGATGATGATTCACTCTTTCCCAGCATCCCGGACGCCTTCTGGTGGGCAGTAGTTACAATGACCACGGTAGGTTATGGAGACATGTACCCCATGACAGTGGGGGGCAAGATCGTGGGCTCGCTGTGTGCCATCGCCGGGGTCCTCACCATCGCCCTGCCTGTGCCCGTCATTGTCTCCAACTTCAACTACTTCTACCACCGGGAGACAGAGCAGGAGGAGCAAGGCCAGTATACCCATGTCACTTGTGGGCAGCCTGCGCCAGACCTGAAGGCAGCTGACAGTGGACTTGGCAAGCCTGAATTCTCCGAGACCACTCGGGAACGGAGACCCAGCTACCTTCCCCCTCCACATCGGGCATATGCAGAGAAAAGGATGCTCACAGAGGTTTGACCGATGCAGGCAGGGAGTTGAATGAGAAGGGTGACATTGAGCAAACAGTCTCAGGCTTCCTTCTCATTCTCCACTCCCCTCATCTGAGCTCCAGCCAACTTCGTGACCCCCTCCCCTGCACCTGGTCCAGATACCTGGACTGTCAACCTTGTTGCTTGATCTGTGCAGCAGCATTCAAGGTTTATCCGTCTAAATGACATTTTTGAGATTTTAACGGTGCCACCCATTCATGCCCATCTTCCATCACGTGGATGAGATTTTTGTCAGACCTTCCCTCTTGACTCTGAAGTTTTCATGTCTAGGGCCAGAGAGATCAACAGGATGGAAACCAGGCATACCTGAGTCCTATTTCTCTCCTTTGTCCTTTGCTTTGGGGCATGCACCTGGCCGCTTCTGGCTACGTGGTAACTAGCAGAAGCTGGAGGACAGAAACAGTATTCACCTTTCTGTTTTATTCCCCCGGCTTGTAACACCTGCTGGTCGTCCTGTAGAGGACCCCTGGTAAAGCCTTTAGCTGCACAGTCTTCAGATAAGTTACTCATCTCGAATCCTGGAAGGCATTAGAGAGACTACAATGAAACTTGGCCATTTGGAGAATATTTAGAGTCAGTCCCTCACCAAAGGGGCCAGTGGATTTCTCCAGATGTGTCCTGGCACAGTGGACATCAGCCTTCGGTCTACATTCAGTCATTCCCTCCCGACTGTCTAGCTTCCAGGAAGGTTCCTCCTCCGAGCCAAATACTCTTTTTGTGCAAGTGCCTTCCTGTGTGGAGCAGCTGGAAAGAGGGAACCACAGAGCCAGGAGCAGTGGCTGGATAGAGCCAAGCAACTGGCTTGACTGCATATCTAAGGAGGGGTAGCACGTAAGCACACATTGTCACCTGGGACGCGTGCAAAGAGGAACCTTGTTGCAGATGGGGAATCTCTCTCCTATACTTTGCCCCAGCCCTCTCGAGCCCCCTCCACCCTTCTCCCTGGGAATTTGACTTAGGATTGCAGTTGAAGGTTTTCCAAAGCAAATTCCAGCTGAAGCCAGCAGACAGGTAAACGCATACGTTGGATGCTAGCGTGGGTTCTTCCCATTTTAGGAGCAATGAAATAGGTTTAGAGTGAGGAAGAAACATCATTCCTTTGTTGACAGCCTCACTGGTAGGGTTTGTTTTTTGTTTTTTGTTTTTGTTTTTTTGTTTTTGTTTTTTTGCTGAGTCAAGCACACCTTCACCTGCTCTGCCCCTGGGAGCTGCAGCCGACCTGCTCTCACTGGTAAGGTAATGTGGCGGTATCACCGCAGGATAGATCATCTTCTTTTGGCGTGAAACTGTTGCCTTCATCCCACCTGCCCATTCCCCCTCATTTCTCTCCTGGTAATGCTGTCATTTGTTTGTTGCCTTGAAAAAACTGTGATGTACTGTTCTGAGCTCTTCTGGGTGCAGTTCGGAAACCGAAAGGACTGTTAACATGTTCTTAATTTTATATCTATGCTTTAAGACTCTTCGATGAGAATTTTAAAAAAAATTTTCTCAAAGAGCCACTTATGAAGGATGGCCTTTTGAGGGTTTTCTTGAGAGACACTGTGGCTCCTGTGGGTGCCAGATGTAAATCTGGATTTTGCCACAGCCTGACAGGGTAACCTGGGTGCCACAGTTCCTCTCTATGCCTCAGTTTCTCCACCCATTCAATGGGAACATTAACGTCCTCCCCTCCCTACCTCATGGGGAATGTCAATGAACTCATCTGGGAAGCTGGTGATAATGCTATGCAAATGTGTAAGGGACTTGAATTTTTAGTTCATTAGCCTATTTTCCTATCTCCCAGAGGCAAAACCTCCTTCCTCACAGAGTTCCTGCTTTGAATCCAAAGCCCAAGAGTAGACTATACTGGGTTATTAGCTCCTTACATCCCTGCTTAGCCTCTTGAGCCGGGCCTCAGTCTCTCTTCTTACCCTTCAACAAGGAGGATGCTCTTTAGACAGGTTCAGTGGGATCCTCTCAGGGCCAGAGGCTGCCGTGATTGGGAGCTTGGCTTCTCCAAACCTGAAATACAGATAAGAGGAGTTCATGATTTGGAAATCTGCTCCGAGGCCATAAAGTTCTGGTTTTCCAAAATTCCTTTAGTTACTTCTGGCTATTTCGGAGAAGGGAGAAGGGCCCACTACAGAGGCAATGGGGGGATGCTTCCAGTGAGGGTAAATGTTGGAACATGTATGCATGTATCTCTATATGTGTGTATGTGATCATCGTCATCACCATCCCTAATAAAACATTCCCTTTTCAAGTCAGAGCATGCCCAAAAGTAAAGGGTTTGTGGAGAGCTGGGCTCTCCAGGGACTCTGGTTGCCATAGCAACCTTCCAGACTGTTCTCTCTATCTTCTGATTTGGGCAGCAAGGGAGAACAGGAGACTACATACATACTCCCAGCTTCTGAAATGGGAACACCTCCTACATAGTGGTTTAGGGGCTGTTAATGACCGGCGAGATGTGTGACCTTTGGAAAATGAGGGGGGAAGCAGCTCCCCCAAACTTTCTCCCTGGACCTTTCTTCCTGGTTTCCCCACCTAGTCATTGAAGCTGCCTCATCTCACTCCTGAATTCTTCAGAAATTTGAATGCTAAGCAACTGCCAGTTAAACCAATGTCAATATTATCTTTTTTTCAAAATGGCAAGGGAAGACTTGGAGGGGACACGCTCCTCAAGAGGCAGCCAGGCTGGGCCTCGCCAAGAGTCCTGACAGTGATAGTCTGTGATACTATGGAGCTGTCATCTCTTCAGAGAGAGGCTCCTCCCTGCTCTCAGGGAGACTGAGAGAAATGACACTTCCTCCTCCTGGGGAATTATCTAGCTCTGATCCTAGCAATCTCATAGGTGGCTCTTCTCAAGACATCGAAGAAACACAGAGAGGCTGTGACCTGACCTGGTTTCTGTGAAGGATTTTGCCAAGCCATCCCTCTCTGACTTTGAGCTTCTTTGTGTGGATTTTGTGCCCCGAGCATCGAAAGAAGACGCACCCTGTGCTGCCGAGATAGCCGGGGTGACGATTTTGCAGCTGCCAGCAAAGGCAGGGGTCAGGCCTCTGTTACACCTGATTCTCCGGCATGAGCTCCCAAATGCCTCCCTGGATCTGTCAGACTCGGCTGAGACGTGGGGTAGTCCTCCTGCCTAATCATCCCCAAGGAGAGAGGGGGACAGCTGGCCACCTTTGCATTGGAGGTAGGTTCTGCTTTTGGGGGGAACTTTGCTCCTGGCTCAGTGCTCTGGGCCAGATTTGAACTCCGGGAGGGGAGCCCATACATCCCAGAGACATGAGGTTTTAATGTCCTGGTCTCAGCAGCCACCTCCCTCTCCTTTTGTTTGGTGTGTGTGTGTGTGTGTGTGTGTGTGTGAGAGAGAGAGAGAGAGAGAGAAAGACTCCTTCCTTGGTTTCTGCTCTCTCATTGCTGCCTTCTCCACCCTTTCTAGTCACCTCCTTTTCTCTGCACTCCCTGCCCTCCCCTTCTCCCAGGTATTCTCATTTTCACATTTTTTCCCCTTTGCATTTCTGGCTTTTGCCCTTCTGTTGTTTCCATCTCTTCCTCCTTCTCTATGTGTCTTTCTATCTTTCTTCCTCTCTCCACCTTTTTAGTGGCAGGGAGCAGCTGTAGCATTTTTGTTGAGATCACACCTTGAACTCTAGGATAGTGGTGATCTCAAGTGTTTGCTGAGAAGGCTGTTCTCCAGCTGGGGGACTGACCTCCCTTCTCTGCCAGTTCAGTGTCCTGTCCTTTCTTGCCAAGCTCGCCCCTGTGGGCACAAGTTCTGAACTTATAGAGCAAGATGAGATTGGGCTGGGTTTAGAAAAACGTCTCTGCAGAAATTTCTTGAACCTTCAAAAATAAAAGAGAGAAAGAAAGAGAGAGACAGAGAGAAAGGAAGAGAGAGGAGGAGAGAACTTCCAAGTCTCCCAACCTTAAGAAGCTTACAGAATGGTTCAAAACAAAACAAAAGAACGTAGAAACAGTAAGCCAAACACAAAAGCAAGGACTTAGGAGGAAGTGGAATTAAGTGTGGAATTAGCCTGGAAAAAGGCTTAGCTCAGGAGTGGCCCTCAAATTATCCTTAGTTCACTTGAAGGCCCTCCTAGCACCTAACTATCTCTCTTGCTCACTGAAGGCAGGACGGAGGAAGGGCATATATCCCAGGGGCGTGAGGTGCAGGAAATGCTCCTTGACAAGATAGATTGAAATTCTCTACCCAATTTGTAAGGGGAGCTGAGCACTCTCCTTGCTGGAGGTGGTAGGCTGTAAATAGTCCCATCTGCATCAGGACATGGGCGGCGGGTGAGGCGGGGGGTTTCCAAGGTAATGGACATTTTTTAAAACAGGATTTTGGTGATAGCTGTATAACTATAAAATAACCCCAAAAAAGTCATTGGATTGTGGGGGTTGGGGAGAAGTGGCATGGGACTGATAACCTGGGAGTTTCACATCTTGGCTGGGAGAATGGTTTGGTTTTAGAAGGTTAGCGTCTCTAAAGATGGACCAATCTAAGTATCCAGGATGGAATGACAGTTTTTTCCTTCTGCCACTTGGGGACACTTGAGAGCTTTTATGCATTGCTCCTTGCTATTCATGTACAGTGCCAAGAACTGCCCCCCCCCCACTTTTTAAAATTTTGACAATCAAATCATTGTGGGATTTTTCTTTTTGCTCAAGCAAAAGAAAGGTCAAAGCCATTTTTGGTAAGTGCAGAGCATGATTAGCACGTATTAGACTGGGGTAAATATGTTGGACATTATTCATTAGGTAGGACTAAGTCAATGAACTGGCCCGAGGCATTCATACTTTGCTGGCAAAACAAAAGCAAGCCTCAAAACTTCAAAGATACCCCCAAACAAACCAAGAATCTTCTTCTAGCCTCTCTGCACCTGTAAACTCAGAATTCCTTTAGAAATTGTACAGATGTCAAGGTTTTCTTCTGCTGGCCTCTTTCCACCCATTCTCCCTGTAGTAACCATTAAGTCTTTATAGCTTCCCTGGGGTCCTGAAGTCTTGGTGCTTTGGGCACCCTTCTCCATGTTTGTCCAGCAGACATTACACTTCTACCGCTTTCACTTGCCTTTTGCTCACTGGGTCCCATCCTTCCCTCCCCTTCAGATTTCTCCTCACATGACACTTTCCAGTCCTGCTGCTTATCATTCCTTTTCTCCACTGGCCGAGCCCTGGCTTTTGGCAGTATTTCTGTCACCCGGCATCTCCACACAAATGCCAGGATAGATTCCCAGAGAATATTGTCCTCCCGGGACAATCTGGCTGGAACTGCCCTGCCAGCTCTGATAGGTTTTGACTGGGTGTTATTGCCCTGGGAAACAAAGTGTGGTCTGATTCTAGCTTGTCAAGGTCATTTAGGGAAGGAAAAGAAATCCTTTCATTCTCTAAACTGTAGGATTTCCTGTCTCCATTCTGCTTTATGCCGGGGCTGCCTCAGGTTGTACAGAGCAGCTTCAAGCAGAACAAGGCCTAGAGCTTGGGGCTTTAGTGGAAGAGAGAACTTGCCAGACACAGGCTCCTGGGAGTAAAAGACAGATGGGCCCTTAGTTCTCATGTTACTGTGTCTCCCAGTGAAACACCTTCCTGTTCTGGGCCTGAAGTCCCTGTGAGATCAGAGATTGTCATGTCATGTCCCTTTGCTCTGACTCCTTAGGGATTGAGTTCAGCCTGCCTCTCTGTCCCTTCTTCATTCTCATCCTGTTGATACCCTAAAGAGAGGATGAAAATCTATTAGCAACCACTACTAAAAGACACACAGGGCGCTGACTCCCTCATTCCCAGAACAACAGAGCAAAATGGGCTGCAAGTATCATTAATACTGGTCTCATCTTGGCTATCACTTAACCTACTTAAGGCCTAGCCTGGGTGGGGTTTACAACAATTAAAAAAAATAAAATAAAAAACATCTCTGACCTCATTGTCATTACTATGAAGAGGCTTTTCCCTTAGTCTGCCATGGGCCTCAGCAGACACTCTTTGCCTGCCCCTGGAAAACATCCTGGATCCGTAAGCCGTCTCCGCTGCAGACTGCAGGGAGCAGACAGACCTCCGCTCTTTGGTGAGCACAAAAACCAACATTTCAAAAGGAAATCGCAGCCACGCAGTCTGCTGGCGCTGCTATTTTTGACATGCTTGCTGTTCTCTCAGGGCTTGACAACCTCTGTCTCCAGGAGACAGACAAACCAGCTCTTGGCAGCAAAGACACTTTGCTTTGAAAAAAGAACATAGGAAGATAGGCCTGAGCCTGGGAGGGGCCAGGAAGAGAAGAAGCCATTCTTTCCCTCTCTTCCAAGAGGCTCAGCACCTGGCGGGCGGGGTCCACAGCTCTAAGGCTGGGGCATCATCTTTGCCTGGTGAATCCTTCCTCTGTTTTGGTCCTCCCTAATGGGAGTGGTCCTGACAAGAATGAGGATGGCACCATTCATTTCAAAACCATTATAAATGCCTCCAATGGTTTCAAACATCATGTCATATAACAAAAAAAGGTTAGGAGAATGGACTATGGAGTTAAGTTTTCTGGGTTCAAATCTTACCTCTGCCCCTTGCCTGCTAGATGACCTGGAGCAAGTTCTGAAACTGCTCTGTGCCTCAGTTTCCCTTTCTGTAAAGGGAGGATGATAATAATGCCAATCTCGTGGAGCTGTTTTGAGGACTACATGAGCTAATATATGTACGGTGGTTATGTAATATGTAATGATATGTAGGTGGTATAATATGTAACAATATATAAGCACTATACAAAGATTGGCTGTTAAAAAAACACAAAGATTGGCTATTATTACTATTGTTTTACAAAAACCAAATGAAGTAGGCGGGCTAGGCATTGTTTTCCTTTGGCAGATTAAGATGGTTGAGGCTCAGAGGGCATGTTCAAGGGCACACAACTAATGTGTGATCCATCATTCTCAGGGAAGACATATTCACAGAACTCAGTGAGCGTCTGATTAATACTACACAAGAAGAGAGAATGAATTTGTGTCTCCTACATGTGTATACAGGCTTTTATTTACATGCCAGTTTGTCTCTTTGAAGGAAAACCAGCAGGTGTCCCCAGGCCCTATATATATATCTCGTTCAGTTATGTATGTCACATAGCCATAATCTCACATAGCTATGTATGTATACAGAATATACACACGGATTTATATATATAAATATATACTGTATATACACATATATATGCAGGTTTCCCCAGTTATAAAAAGTAGGACATTCCTGTGAAACCTTTCATAAGCCAAATGAAGTAGAGCAAGAAAGAAATTACCATTTCATAAAGGCGAAAATCCTCTTCGGATTTCTTTGAGTTAGTGAGATCAGGTACTAACACAGGTCTTCAGTAAAAGCAAAGTGTATTTAAAAAACAGTGGAGGGGGGGCACTTGGATGGCTCAGTCTGTGGAGCACCCAACTCTTGATATCGGCTCAGGTCATGATCTTGGAATTGTGGAATCGAGCCCCTTGTGGGGCCACGCCCTCAGTGAACTTTCAGATAGCAAGGGAAACCTGTACACCTTTCTGTACACCGGTCTTTACTACCATCACTGTTATCTTCCCTCCACATTTTAACATTCTCAGGGGATGGCACTCCACTAGGGCCTTCCTCACATACTTCCTCCAATCTTCCTCCTTAGGACAGATGCAGGGTCCCACAGTTAGCCCTAAGGATAGAACACATAAGTCAGACCCCAGCACAGTTTTCTTATACTGTTCCAGTGGCCTTCAAAATCCCACCTCCCCTGGTCCTTGTCCTCAGCATCCCCCACTGATCCCCAGCCATCTTCATGACCCACTCCCCCCACTTTGCAGGTGGTGACACCCTGTAACATTCCTAGGGTGTGTTCAGCTTTCCTTTCCTCCTTTCAAGGGGAGGAGATAGGAGTCCCTGGAGGTGGAAGAAGCTAGCCCCTCCTACTCTTGTGGTTTCCCATTTGCTTCCACTGCAGCTCTCCTGAAGGTCCCAAATCAGGCAGGAATGTTCTAGTCATCCTACACTCATTCCCATAGCCACTCCAGCTTGCCCAGAGGACCTGGCCCAGGGCAGGCCAACGGGACTGCCTCCCCATTCTGATTTCTTGGCTTGCTTGCCTTTGGAGGTAGAGAACTTGCATCTGAATTACCATTATTAGCTGCACCTCATTTAGCCTCTCCAGTTTTGTCATCTGCAAAATAAGGGAGCTAATTCCAC